TCAGCGTAGACACGTTCTCCAAACGTTGCTGCATACATACATACATACATACATACATACATACATACATACATACAAGCAGGGAGCAGGGAGGTGAAGTAGTGGCGGTCAGTTCGAAGGAAGGAGCTACCCGCAATTCCCAGCCGCTTGTACGCGGTGTTGTAGGCCACGGAACGCTTGCAATTACAAGCTGGTCAACATATAATTATCCCCAATGACCATAAATTACCGGATTTTTATGCGCAACATTCTTAATTACCCTTTGAATTAACATCAATCAACCCCCTTAATTGTACGCTGCTGCTGCCGGCGTCGCTGACGCTGCCTTCGCTTCTCTCTCTCTCTCTCTCTTTCTCTCTCTTTCACTCGCTATTGGTTGGTCATCTCTTCCCTCCGTTTTCTTGAGCTAGCGCTGCTCGGTTCCTTCTACGCTCTTCGTCTCCCTCGACTCGACTCGGGTAGGACAGCGGTACGATGATAATGCGAAAACACGATACTCGCCCCGAAGCGAGGACAAGAGAAAGAGAGAGAGAGAGAGAGAGAGAGAGAAGAAACAAGGAGGCAAGTAAGGGAGGAGAGGAAGGTTACGAGGGACGAGGAACGGTTGCGTCGACAGTCGCAACGAAATTGGTTCGAGGGTGAGTTTTCAGCGGTTAAACGTCTCTGATCGGTGGCTGCAGCGGCGGGAGAAAGGGGTGGAGGGCCTCGCCACGGGGTTTGTGACGACTCGTCGCATAATGCACGCGTTTTAATTGCCTCCCTAGACACTCGACCGATCCTCGTATCAATGGGTCCCCGTGTTTTAATTGCATATTCGATTACGTGGACTTTCACCGGCTGATCCCGCAATTATCGCTCGAGAAGACATGCCAGGATGCACCCGATGAAAGCGGATACTCGTTGCCCGATCAAGAGAATCAAGTCTCTCTATTTCCCGGAGAAAATTGACCGGACTCGTTGCGCCGCTGCGCCTCTCTCTCTCTCTCTCTCTCTCTCTCTCTTTTCTCTTTTTCTCCGACGTTAAATTTCCAGAGTTTAAGTTTAAGAGGGACGTTGTTCTTTCGCGGAGGTGGACGACTGTACGAGCAGTTTCGTACTGACATTCGTTTCATTCGCGAATTACACGACACGTTTCGTCGTTGATGGCGAATTTTGAAGACCAAGTTCTCTGTTATTGAATCGTTCTGTCTGGTGTGTCAACGTGAGCGTGAAAACTGCGTCAGAATATTTTGCGACACGTCCGATTTTACATTTCATCATCGCGACGGTTTCTTTAAAAAAAAAAAAAAACTCCATTTCTTCAAAAAAAAGAAAAAAAAGAAAGAAACGATTGACAAACGTCGTTCGCAAAAACATTCTTCTTAAATCGATCGTTTACGCGAAACATCAACGATGCGCGTGTAATTGTCGAACAATCGGGTTTGCGATAACGATTAATTTATCCTGGTGCCCTGAGATCGAAACTAGACAGCTTCGAGCTGGGGATCTAGCAATTTTTAAACTTCGCGGCTCAGTGACACATCCGTAGCGATGAACGATCGCAATCACCGTCGATTTCTTTGCCCTCTCCCCCGGTTTCGCAAGGATTCTCTTTCCGTTTCACATATCATGATCGTCAGGGAAGAAGAGACGACTAGCGGGGGGGAGGTGGGTGGGAAGGAGGGGGAGAGGGAGAGAACGAGCGATGCCGATACGCTAATGAAACCGCACTCTCATTAAAGCATCCAAATCGACGATACTAATTGGCTAGCTTTCGGAATACCCGGCATTATACCTCAGGATGCGATATAATAATCGTTGCGGACGAATTCGGGCCGGACAGCCGGTGGTTAAAGCGTCTAGTAATTTCACGGGCACAGCCCTAGAGCGATTAATATGATTCCAACGGGAATTAACGACCGCAAACGGAAAAAAGGGAGGCTCGGCTGACCACAGGCTCGTCGACGAGCGGTCCTCCGACACGAGAGGATCGCTTAAGAAACGAGCAGTTTGCTCTCTTTCAAACGAACGTGAGCGTCGAATTGTGTGAGATCGTGTCGACACGTCTAGAAATAGTATTTATAATTTTCGTAGCGGTCGGGCGACGAACGATTTTTCTGTAGGAATTCTTCGAATACTGTTTGAACGTTCTTTGAAATGTACTTTCCGATTAACTTGTCGGTTGGATCATCCATACGCAATGGTTACGCTCTGCGCAGCCATGAGCCCGAAGATTTCGACAGCGAGGTATCTTTCGATTAATCAGACTCCTTTCTCCAAATTTTCCACGCAGAAGTTCTTCGGCAGGCTGGCACAATTGCTGCAAAGGCTGCAGAATCGTCGTGAAATCGGGCGCCTTTCACCAGCGGTTAAACGTTCGCCTATAAGCTCCCAGAAATTCTCACGAATGATGCAATCCAGCACGTTAATTCACCGATAACGAGACACAAAACCACGGTAATTACGTGTTATGTAGCGCGTGTACGTATGTGCCAAGAACCAGGCACGTTTCGTAGGCTGTGTGTGTCTTTCACGCGATAGACTCTCTCTCTCTCTCTCTCTCTTTCCTCTTTCCTCTCTCTGTTTCGTAGGAAAGAACCTTTATCACGATAGAACGCCGTGAACGTGGGCGGTCTTTAAAAAAAAAAAAAAAATCCCGTCCGAGAAATATTTACACGGGTTGCCATTATAAAACGCCTTTTATGAGGAACAAAGTAGCTGGCGGGCAGAAGGTTCGCCCTTTGACAATAATTTGTCCAGAATAACCGGCTTCACTTTCTCTCTCTCCCTCTCTCTCTCTCTCTCTTTTTCACCCCTCTAGCCCATTCTGCTTCCGCTCGATCATCCATCCAGCCGTTCGTCATAGGCGCACGGCTTTTAAAAAGTGAAGCGCTGGACTCAGGCCAGCGCAAAAATAGAAGCAGATGTTGTTAGTTGCGTTTAGCAAGTACACGAACCGCGGCCTCGACGGATGGATCTCCGAGCTCTCGCCCTCGGGTGAAAAAGGGAGGAAGAAAGCGATCGAGGGAAAGAGGAAGATCCAGCCAAGACGCACGGGAAGAAAGACAAACGAGAACGAAAGCGATAGAAATATAGAAGAAAACGAAGAAGATGGAACAAGGAGGATCAGAGGTTGCCTCGGACCCCTGTCTCGACGGCAGCCTGATCTCATTGCCCTTGAATTCTTACTAACAGGCCTCTTAGATAAAAATAATTAGCCAGATAAATGCGAGGTGTAGCGCGAGGTTTGGCCAGGCTGATTTTATTCTTGAATCCATCGAGGAGCCATGGTCTCTGTCTCTCTCTCTCTCTTTCTCTTTCTCTCCCTCTTTCTCTCCGCTTCGCCCTAACGTTCTCGTCTGGTCCCGATGCCATCGACCAAATGTTTTTACTTTGAAGTCGGCAAGATGAACGGGGGAACCTCCTTCTAATTTCCACTGTCTGCATTCTTAACAGCTGCGCGCAGCACGCCTCGATACGGCTGGCGGGAGTCCCGCGTTTAATTAGTATCGTGTTTATGCGTGTACCGTTCCGCGCCCTTTCAAGTTTCCCGGGGACCGAAGTTTCCAAATCGATCGATCGCGTCGCTGTTTCCGCGCAGTTTTGCGATTTCTTCGCGACATTCAGAAGGGAGGGGGGAGAAGTGACGCGACACTCGAGGCGTAAAGTTCGCGCGTTGTTGTCGCAAGGTGATTTCCTGCTCCGTTTTCTCGAAATCGACGTTTCCTGCGTAATTTTTGGAGATGTCACGAACGTTTTGGAACAATGAAGGGATCTCGGTGGTAAGAATACGTATGATGTTATATGACAAATTGTCGGTGTGGGTGATCAGTATAGGTTAAATGTCGGAGGGATACTCGTTTACATTTTTATGAATTCGGTTAAAGAAACGGAGTACAATAAGAACTTGTTTCGTGCACATTACACATTATAACGAGTATTGTACTTTAAGTAGTTTATGCATCTTTGCATATTGCGTGGATATGATATATGTACACGCGTGACGTACGTTGTATTATACGTTGTGGATCTACACATGTCCTATACACAACATACATACGTACATACGTATATACATATATTCTGTGTACAACTTTGAAATCCAGAATTTATGCAATAAATATATATATAATAAACGTAACAATATATCGCAAGTTAGTTTCCTTAGCCATGCTCCATTACGAGGTTACAATTTCATCCGTTTCATTTATAGCAGCATTTTACTAGTTTAATTTGCATTTACGTATTTTCATTGATAGAAGACAGTTCCATTATATTAATAATATTTTGTTAGGTTTGTTAAAGAAAACGTGTTTCGAAGCATCTTCGGTTCCAGCGCATCGTGCTCCGCGGCGGATGTCAACAACACTTTTTGCCCCACGACCGTGGCACGGATAATTAACTCATTCTCGTAATGTTTTCAACGACCAGTCGAAAACAAAACAAGAGAGCATATAGAGTGCAAGTGCGTGTGTCCTGTTCATAGAATGGAAATATTCAGACCAGTTGTTACAGGAATGTTGAAGCATCTCGTTCGAGTAAGAGAAGTTTTTATAGGTTATGTATCACACTCTGTCACACACTGACGTAACCGTTTTGTCAGAGCGACAGTGTCTTCGCATTTCTGGTTAACTTTGCCGTGGTTGAATTTGCCATCAGAATTTTATATCCTACATTTAAATGTATTACAAATTTTCGTTTCCACGAGCAAACAGTTTTAATATTTTAATATTAAAAAAAAAAAAAATCGTCGTGTATCTCCTCTAAATTTGAAGAATTCTGTCGATAGAAAAATATTGTGCCACAGCGAGGCGTTAAAGCGCAGGGTTTCGTTACCGAAAATTGACTCGTCGGACGGCATCGGATGACACGTTTCGTTCGTCGTCGGACGTCGAAGCGGGGCAAATAATATTCCCGGCATTATGGGATTGGGAAAAGGTGGGAGGGCTGGGGGGGGAGAACGTGCGGGCGGCGATTTCAACTATTAGATCGGTCCTCAGAGAGTTTTGGTCGATTTGCAGATTACGAGTCCCCGGGATGCAAGGCTGACATGGCAGAGGGTTCGGCCGAGGAGGAACAGAGCAGTACCGCTGCGCCCGCTTCCCCGCCAGCTGATCTTCGCACTCTGAACACCCAATTGTCGCCGCCTTATCATCACCAGTCCCATCTCCAACCTCGTCTTCAGCATCTGCAGCATCCCAACATGTTGGCGACCGCCGTGCCGCCCAGGCACAGCCACAGTATGCTGTCTCATCAGGTGAAAACGGAAGCCGAGTTGGACGCGCCCTGCGACGTGCCATTGAATCTGAAGAGCGAGGTAAGTCCCCGTGAATCCTCTATATACGTATACGTCTCTGTATTTCCTCTCTGTCTCTCCCATAGCGCTCGCTCTATGAACTAATGTACCGTGATCGATTAAGACTCGTTCTAATCAACGCGGGAGCAGCCGCCTCGTGAATTTCGCGATGCTCGTTAAACAACGCGACGAATTATACTACGAGGTTTACCCGCCAGGTCGTTCGTCTGGAAGCCGTTCGATTAATAGTTTCAGATATTACAAGAGAACTTGCCGTTAAATGACGACTTTGATTGGAATCCTCTTCTCTCGTTTCTTCGCGATTTCAATTTGAAAGAGTGTTCGGAGTGTTTTTTCTTTCTCCTCTCCCGAGACGTTTCGAGGGTTTGTTATAATTAGAATCTGAAATTTTTCGTTCAATTGTTCGTTTGGAAGAGAGTGATTTTCTACAATTCAATAGTTTCTCAATTTGATTAACTTGGAGAACGAAAGCGGTTTCATAGGCTCGCGCCAAGACTAGATGGTTAGTTAATAAGAAAGACCCTCAGTCGAAACGATCGTCACACTCGTTAGTAACGGTTTTGTGTGTCAATGACAAGCAATTGTCTGGTTAAGTAGCTGCCGCGCCGCATCCCAACCTAAATCGGCCAATGGTCTCTCTGACCTGTATACGATTAACGTACAAAACAAAGCGTGTCGAACGACTTCCATGTGGACGACGGGGTCAATGTACCAGCCCATGATTCTTTCTTCGGAGATTGCACAACGCGTTGTACCATTGGCTCGAGCCTCTGCGTACATATGTTGAATCTAAACCGCGTCCTCGAGCAATTCTTACGATTCGAAAATCTCTGCCAAATTTCCGTAATTATTTCCAGAATTCAGTCAGACAAAGTACGTGGAATCAAATTTCAATTTCCGCTTGAATAATTTCCTGTAAGTTCGAAGTCGATTTTTACTAGTTTCAGTCTTCTGTCGAGCGGATCGAGTGCAATCCTTTGACAGTGTAGCAACGAGAAAAAGATCTAGAAACGATAGAAAATTATTGTCGAGAAACTTTTGCATTCTCTCAAGTGAGATACGAAATTTTTCCAACGTTATATTTGACAGTTTGTTCTACTTTCTCTCGTGTGCCACATTGCGCACAGGGTCAGCACACATCCACAAGCGAATTCATACGCAATTTTCTAACAATTTTACAATTTCTCTGCAATCAATTGTACAATCAGGTAGTTCATTGCGCACGCCATTCAATATCTCCGCGTGGATATCGTAGATCACGCGATTTTACCAAGTCCAAGCCGCTTTCTAAGTTCTTGTAGCAGAATAGGAAAGAAACGAAAGAAAGAGAAAAAAGGACAAAGGCGTTATCGGGTAGTTACAAGTAAATATACCCACATACTCGTACCAATCTAATCTAATCCATGTACACGCGGCACACATGCAGCGAGCCGGTTGGTGCATTAAGAGAGCGGCTGACTTCTCGGGTTATTACCACAAAACTGCCAGAAAAGGTTGCTCCCGTTAGTACCGTCGGGCTCCGTGGGAAAATCGTAGCAGATAGAATGTCAAAGTTTCTAACGGGCTACCGCGCCACGGTATGCGACTTTTCCTCGCGCGTGTATACACACGACATTTGCCTAAGCGTTTGCATGTGAAAGACTTCCGCGTTCCACGCGTATGGAGTAAAGTCTAATCCATGGTATCCAAGCCGCCATATCCCCTCCATGGAAACCGCCGCCACGGTTCGATCATTTATCAGACTGTAATCCGTATCAGAAAATCGACACTCGATCTTTGCCGATCACAATCTATCGTCAGTTCTCGTTAACAAGGATACTTTCTTTCTCCCGTTGAAATCGAACACGGCTCAGATCATATATATATATATATATATATATATATATATATATATATATATATATATATATCGCGAAGCGTAATTGTTTATTATAATACGTACCTGGAACTCGGGGAAATCGGGCGAGGTATAGACTCGTTGCATGATCACGAACTGGCCTGAATGTTATTTCGGTGTACGTGGAACGGAGCTAGTTGCGTGCAACGCGCGAAATTAGTATTTATGGGAGGTCTGTTAACGAGAGCCGTTTTGTTCGGTTCGTAAGCGGTGAATTACTTGGCCGCCAGGTATTCGGCAGACAGGGTACGGTGTGTAATTCGTATTGATGGCTAAATTTGAGCTAAACGTCCTTGCGTTTGGGAAAGCGGGATATTTCCTTTCGTTTGTTTTATTCTCGTGTATAATTCCATTTGAAGAAACTTCAATTATCAGGCTTGCGCACTGACGAAAGGGGTCACTTCGATGGGGCGAGGGAAAAAGTGTTTTTTGAAAAAAAAAAGAGGAAGAAAAGATTTTTTGAGAACCCCCGAAACGACAGATAACACAGCGTTAATGCCGGGTGTAATCCTAATCGTCGTTGCATTTACGCCGGCCTGTGTTATTAAAGTTCGACAAAAGCGCTTCTTTTTCCGCGGACACACACAGAGGCGCGGTTGATTCGCGGCTTCACAGGGACCGGCCCCGGCAATTCGTCCGTTCAACAATGCACAACAATGATGCCAATTAGCCGACGAAAGAGAATAATAGTATACTAGAAGAGAGAAACGAGGCGGCGAAGCCTCGAGACTAGAGTCTCGAAAACAGCAGTCTCATCCGTTGGTCCACGCTTGGTCCCTGTTCATCCATTACACTATTATCCCCTCGGCAAACATCCAGGATCCATCCGTGGACACTCCACGCACGGACTTAATGCCTCGGCGGCCCGGTCTCCTCTCGTACCTCCGAGGAGCATGCAATTTACGCGTAAAAGAACTAGGATGTGTTTCATGGCGGCGATGCAAAAAAGAAACGCCTGCTCGCTGCTTAACAGGGTACAGCATACATAATAATGTCGCCGGTGAGTTTCCGCCGGCGGTGGACGCGCCTCGTGAAATATGAAAAGAGCCCGGCGAAAAATTGCGATCGTGCCAGACGCCGGCTACGATCTTCTTATATATCGATGTTAATATGTCAAAGATGCTTAGCTTTTAGCCAACGTTCTTAAGACGTTTAACTTGTCCTCTCTCTCATTCTGCATTCCAACAGTTTACAGCTTTTATCGACGATAGGCTTCTCGCATTTTGTTTCAAGATCGGATGATTTCCTCTCGTCGTTTAGTTATTTTTAATATTGCTCTAAAATTTTTCAATAACTTCAATCTGCCGACTAAATTATAGTTCGTAAACTTTCCCGCTTGGAAAGTCGAACGTTCGACGATCGTAAATTATAACGATTGAGCCTCGTATTTTCAACAATCTCCTCAATGCCACTATAGAATCGTTCCCGTCTTCTTAATTACGGAATATCTTCTTCTCGCGAGGATGATAGATATTCAGTGACACTAATAAGTACGCGAATACAAAGACGCGGTTCTCCAAGGATTTTTCGTTGGACGTGCGAGGCCGTGTGTGCATCAGCAATTAGAAACCATAAAAAAATCTCGGAGGGAAACGAGTAACCGTGCCGTTTGATAGATCGCATTCATCGCTATCGGTCATGGTTTTCTCGTGGCCATTCGTGTTTCTATTGATTCTCTTACTCGACGACGTATTATTCACGTACGTACACACTATCGATCCCTTGTTGTTCGATTTTCACGTGGGAAAATTCCGCGAACACACTGGCGAGGACACAGAAGCACGGAGAGGAAAAAAGATGGAATCGAGCGTTAGAAGTCTCGGTTCTAATTCGGATTAATTCAAAACTTGAAATTGAAGGATTAAGAGGTCCGACTCGAAAATGTCGACCAGAAAAGATTTTATTTCCTGACCCAGACACGTATGCCTGTGAATATTAACATTTGTGTCAGCTACTGAATTTCAACTTCTCCAGTCAACCGAAAATTTTATGTTTTCGCATCTTCGACGACACTTGAATAATTTCTCCTCTGCCGAGAGTTCGCCAAATTTTCACGTCGAGCCCTGCTTTCCACTTTGCCATCCGATCGAAGTCGCCGTAGAATCAGTCGACGACCGCTAAAAATGAATGGCGTTAGTTGCGGCATTTCCTCGATTTTATCGCGAAACACACGAAGTCGAAAGCACCCTCCAGAGCATTGAAATCACCGGGCGAGCGGCGTTAAAAAGAAAGAGAAAGAAGGTGCTCCGGCAGAAACGACCAGCGCAGCGACTCTCGGTGTCGCGAGATCCAATTTCTCCGCACTCGTCGTGCGACCTGTGCAACGGCTCCAAATAAAATAGAAGCGCGTCGAAATACATGATGGAACGCCCGAGGGCGAGGTGTGTAGCCAACGACCAACCGCGAGAGCCGATACCCATCTCTGCGAGTCGGAGAATCTGGTTAAACATCGCAATAGTTGCATCGTCACGTGCAACGTGTCTCCTCTCGGATCCACGAGGCGAGAGTCCTCTTGACGAGGAATGCCGCGGATGATATCCGAGATTTTCGCCAAGGAAGCGCCCTCCCTCCTACAAATCTTTGAATAATTCCGAGGGTTGCGGACTTAACATAATCTTTGACATCATCGACCGAAAGTTACCGTGTGTTAAGGCACTTCTCCATTTGAGAGTAAAACTGTCGCGAGTGGCTACTGCTTCTGGGTGTTACCGTCTGAGAGTTACCATCGCTCAATTGTTTGAGAGAAAGAAATGGAGAATACTGTGGAGGCAAACAAAATTATTCGAGAAAAGAACAATCCAGTTACAGTGGCAAATTCCGCGTTATTCGAATCGGGCCGAAATTTCGCTGTTCGATTTTTAAGCGATCGGAAAGCGACGATGAATCGATAGGTTGCCGATGCTGGTTGTGTGTATAAAGAGAGAGAGAGAGAGAGAGAGAGAGAGAGAGAGAGAAAGACAGAGAGAGAGAGGAGGGCCTTAAGGCGCATTCCACGCTGATAGACACGAGGCCGGGACCGTAAATGCATCTGTCAAGAAAGTGATTGAAGGCAAACGGGAGGGATGCTGGCGCAGCAAACCGGCCCCGCTTCACGTTCGGATCTCATTACCTTCACTGGCTCATTTCACCGAGTCAATCGGGTTTCGATCGAATTTCACAATTATCGTCGGTTAGCCCGGGACAAGGT